AAAAAAAAAAAAAAAAAAAAAAAGGAGGAAGAGAAAAGAAAAAACGAGTCACATTCTGGGCTGGCAGCACGCAGCAGTGAGCTCTTTAAAAATCTGCTGAGGAAGGCACTTGCACAGCACATGGTTTGGGCAGATCAATGAAGCTGCAAAGCAGCCTGGCAGGCACACAAATCCACTTTCTAATGAAATTTACAGCAAGTGGAATTTAGGTCACTACTCGGAAGCATTCAGTTTATTCCAGGCAGCTTTTAAAGAAATAGCTGTCAAATTAAGCCTGCTCACCTCTGACAGCCAAGGTCCAACTTGGAGCCATGGCAGATTTCTTAGGTATGGCTTAAAAATATAGATTTTTTAAAGCTTTCTTTGCTTGCCCCCTCCCTTCATCACCGCAGCACAGTGATTGGCATCAACTCCTGCCATGCAGTGCTGGCTCTGGTGGGAGCTGGGAGTTCTGAGGATGCTCAGGCTGTGCCCAGCCTCATCCTTCCCCAGGGTCAGAGCAGTGAGACACCAGACGTGTCCTTCCTGCAGCCTGTACCCAAAGGACTTCAGCTGCTGCTGAAGGAAGAGCAGTGCTAAAAACAGACCTAAAACAGCTCTCGAGGGAACAGCTAAAAGCAGTCTCTTAGCAGAGGTGAGCTTTCACCAAGGCTGAGTGTTGCCAAGTGGAAGGGCCTGGGCTGCACTGCGGATTGCCAGCGCTATTCCCAGATGTCACACTCCAAGAGAGCTGCCAGAGCATCTTCAGTGGGTGGTGGAGGGAGAGGAAAAGTGGCAAACAGGCCGTTCTCTGGCTGTTTACCCAGCAGAAGTGGCCAAAGCCCTCAGTCTCCACACTCACAATTCCTGCAGAGATCACAGCAGGCCAGACATTCACGCTTCCAACAGGGCAAAGTTCAAACTCTTACATAACACAGGCAGTGGGAACTTATTACTGCCTCAGCTGAAGGTCTAGCCAGGCACAGAGCTCAAAGTTCTTCCAGCCTCAGCACAAACCAGGAGCAGAGCAGGGGAGAGCAGAAGGCAGCTGTGGAGCGGGGCCAGGCTCTGTGCAAGGGGAGATACCACAGGCACAGCCAGGCCCTCTCTGGGCTGAGCTCTGGAGGATAAAGAGGTTTCCCCATAGCTCACCAACCTGCCCCACCTTGGCAGCTGCTTGCTCCCCACAGCCTGTGCCTCTCCCTTGCCCACATGGGACCTGCTTCCCTTCCACAGGGTCTGACCAGTTCCCAGCACAGCCCCAGTGCTTGGGATTTGGCCTGGCTGCAGTTGAGGTATAACGCAGGTGCCTGTGCAAACACCTCTGCCCCTTCCTCGTTATACACATAAATATGCATTTCATGCTCAGCTGATGGAGGATTTGCTTGGCTGGGTTATGATCCTGGCTGCTGCTCCACAGCTGGCTCTGCACCAGGAGTCTCTGACCTCCCTCCCATCAGCACTATGGATGAGCACACCAGAGCACACTCAGACACCATCCCTGTATTCATCCTGGCCCTTCTTCCACCTCATTGTCTCTCCTGACAGAGTTCCATGTCCATCCCTGCAGCTCTCCAGCCCTTTTTGCTCCATTCCTTGTCCATAGGGATGTTACTGAGCCTGGAAGAAGTGATCATTGGATATCACCCAGCTCTCTGGGATCCCTCTTCCCTCTAGGGAATTTACCCACAGGATTCCTCCAAGGAGGTCCCTGGAGAGGCCAGTTAGCTCTCCCCATGCCCAGGGCTCTGAGTGGACATCCCTGGCAGCATGCAGAGGCCTCGAGCCCTCCTGACACCACAGAGCTGCACATCCCACCTGCCTGTGGAGCTGCTCCCCTCCCAGATGGATCCAGGCGAGCCTACACAGCACCAGCAGCTGGAGAGGAGCCTGTCCTCCTCCACATGCCCAGCCACAGCATCACCCACCCACCCAGCCAGCCAGCCAGCTCTCCTCTGGGTGCTGCCTCAGGCACCGAGTGCTCCACCAAGGATCTTTCTGCTCAGGATTTCGTTCTTAACAAGACACTTGGAGGCAGAACTTAGCAAGGAAGAAAACCTGTATGTGGCCAAGGAGCCAACCTGGAGCTGGGCAGCACATCCTACAAGCACAGGGAGCACACACAGCCCAGCAAGCAGCATGGGCTTATGGAATTTCACAGCACACCTGTGTTGGGCTTGGCTTGGGAAGGTTGCAGAGCAAGTAGAAATTCCCTCCAGGAAGGGAAATCTAGGAGCAAGCTCTTGTGCGAGTGAAACATTTGTCCTTGCTGTTTAGATACATTTTTCTCCCCAAGAGAAAACAGAGGGAACTCGGGATGTGCAAGTTATCTCTCCAGGAATCCTTGTCCAGGAGCTGGGCACGACCTGATCCAACCTCCAGCAGAACTGCCTCCCCTGCACATTCCAGCTGCTCCTCCTGGCTGCGGGCTGGCCAGGGACATCCCATGGAATGCTCCGAGCCCGGCTGGCAGTTGTGTAATGCAGCCTGGGCTGCTGCCAGGGCACACAGCAGGGATCTCCCGAGGGATGTAATCCTGCCACGGCCTCACTGCCTGCACATCCGATAACAGAAAGGCTCCTAGTTTTCCCATTTCCGTGAAAACAAAGGATTCTGTGGAGCTCTACACCCTCTAGTGGAGGTGGGAGCTCGGCACACCGAGATAATCCCAAATCCCACAGCAATGCCAAGCTTGATTCAGGATCCGACTGCCCACAGCTCCACAGGCAGGGCTGGGCACTGCACGTCTGCAGGGGACAGTGCAGGCGTCACTTCTGCACAGCCACCTGCAGCAGGTAAACACCTGCCTACAGTGTTCAGGCACAAAAGGTTTAAACGAAAAGAAAGTCAGCTTTGAAAAATGGATTTTATTCATGTTCACCATCCAATTAGGCAGCACTGCCTTCTACAACCTACAGGAAAGCTGGAGGGGGATGTTTTACAAGAGCATGGAGTGCCAGGACAAGGGGGAATGGTTTCAACAGGCACAGGGAAGGGTTAGATGGGGTATTAGGGAATTAGGGAGGGTGGGGAGGCCCTGGCACAGGGTGTCCAGAGAAGCTGTGGACATACTCAAGGCCAGGCTGGACAGGGCTTGGGGCAGCCTGGGATAGTGGAAGGTGTCCTTGCCCATGGCAGGGGGTGGAAGGAGATAGTTTCTATGGTCCCTTTCAGCCCAAACCTTTCTATGATAACCCAAAAAGACCACACAGGTATTACCAAACTGCAAGAGCAGCTCTCGCCATCCTGCAGAATTGTCTCTTGGTCCAGCCACCTGAAAATGAATAACCAAGATGTCCAGCCAGGAATGCTAAAGCCCTGTCCTACACACACCCATCTCCTCTGGATCAGTGTTAACTGAAGCATCATCCCACCCCAGCTCTCCCGAAAATCCTTCCCAGAAATATCTCCACCACAAGCACTTCCAGGGCCAGATCACCCATCCCACAGCAACAACAAACTGGAAAAGCACTTGTTGTTTTGGCAAGGACTGTTTGCCAGCAGCTGGGATCACTGCCAGGTTCCCAGCACAGGCCTTCCCCTCTCCCTGCCCACACCTGCCAGGGCACACAGTCCCCTGAGGCGTCCCCAGGTGAACCCCCGCTGCAGGAGAGAAACCAGACATGTAAACAAGAGAGCAAAGTACACACCTTCCAACAAAGCCTTACATTTGCTCAAGTGCAGAACCCGCCTTATCACTATTCCCTGCTACATTATCACTATTCCCTGCTATGTGGGGAACAAATTTGCAACTCAAACAGTATCTAGTGATAAATCAAGTACCCAAGTTCTCATTTCCATACCTGAGAGAGCACCAGTTCGATTTTGCAAAACACTTTCAAAAGAAGATTCAGTACACATTAAAAAAAAACAATCTAACCGATTTCTCCTTAGATTAGGAAAATGTTGTATGCAGTATCATACATGACCATCAAAATGCTTCATGAATGTTCACACCTGTTACTGCACGGGTGAGGCCCAGCACGGAGCCCACCTGGGAGCTGCTCTCGGGCACGGGTGAGGCTGGCTGGTAGCACCCAGCAGCCCTTCCCCAGCCCACAGACCCCACACCCTGCCCAGGAGGGGCACACGGGGCTCCCAGGACTCACCTGCTGCTCCCTCACCTCAGGAATGGAAGCACCGAGTGCCACCCCTGTCACCATCTGGGGCTGAGCCCTGGCAGGAAACCATGGGGCACACAAATTTCTGGGTCACTCCCAGGAAAAGCAAAGTCCTGCTCTGGCTGCTGGTCCTGGGGCTGGCCCTGCAGCTCCCTCCCCACCACAGTTCACTCCTTGCACCCCACGGGCCCCACTCAGCGCTCCCCCACCCTGCTGTGGGCCCAACACCTCTCCAGGGAGCAGCCACACCCCGGGGTTGTCCTTGCACAGCACCCCAGCCCTCCTACACAGTCCCAAAGCCCCCAGAGACCCCAATGCTCCAGCCCCACAAACTCTACCTCCCCCAGCCCCCACTGCAGCCCCCTACATGACCCCCAAGCCCTCACTACCTTCACTGCACCCCAAGTCCCCCAAATCCTGTCTGCCCCTGCCTCCCACACCGTCCTCCAGACCCATTGCAACACCCCCTACAAGCCCACACCCTTCCCCCGTACCCCAATACCCACCACCCTGCATCCCAAACCCCCTGTGCACCCCCAAACCCAGCTGCCCCCAGCTCCCCCCAAACCTCCATACCCTGCACCCCAGTACCTTGCTTCCCCCATCCACACCCCAAACCCCGAGTCCCCCATGTCCCCACACCACCCCCAGCCCCTGCTTCCCCAGAGCCCCCATTACCACCTCTCCTGCACCCCACTCTGCCTCCGAATTTCACTACCCCCAGC